TCTGTTTATGTACTTTTCAAACTGAAGATGTATTTACTTCATATCAGCTTTGTAAACTCTTTTCTTATAAGCTCATGATTTGTACTACCAGTCCTTGGGAAATGTATAAGATTCAGAAAATTTCTTTGTTTGTTGTCTTATCAATATTATTGAAATTGGATAGTTTTTAGTTGGCTTACCTAGCGGGTTGGGTTAGGTGTCATCACGACTAGTGGATTTCTGGGTTGTGACAACAGCCTAACAATGCTAGCATCAAACAGTCAAAAGGCACATAAGAGCACTCCAGTTTTCTTGCCTCAATTTTCTAAAAATATAAAAAGAAAAAAACAAAACTACCCGATTTAAGTTAAATCCCTTGGAAAAGAACCGATGCCAAAAGAAAACCAAGGGGGGTTTATTATCTACCTACGACTAAATAAAAAAATATTTTTGGATTTTTGTATTGGACCTTAATCCCTCAAGAAAGTTGTCTAAAAGATTCATCGTCCAGAAAAGTCCAATTTTTTTTTAAAATTTTTTTTATTGTCTAAGAGATCCATCGTCAGGAAAAGTCCATTGTTTTTTATGTTTTTTATTTTTAAAAATTCCAGCTAAACTAACACAACTAAACTATCATAGGAAATCACCCAGATAATCTCCTCACCCCACACTTAAAATTGTGCATTGTCCATAATGCACATCATAGATAATAAGAGGGTAAAAGAAACTCCCTGGTAGGCTAAAGGCTGAAGCATCAGCAGCTCATGGGATACTCAGATTTTTTCCAGGCCTGGTTCTTCGTGCTTGTACCTCACACTTAGTTCCAACCATCTGGTTTGCTTTTGCTTCCTTTCACTAGCTTTGTTTTCCATGCTCCTACAAAATAAAATTAAAAAACTACACTACAACAATAACACAATTTAAAAAAAAAGGTAAACAAACTAAAAAAAACAGTAAAGTTGGGATGCATCCCGGCAAGCACCTAATTTAACGTCGCGGCACAACGTGAATCACTTTCTGTCTCCACTTCGAACTTATGAATTGGACCCCAAGTTTTGATTCTGCTCTATGATCATGTGGGGAGATACAAATTTTTGCGAGACAAAAATTAAATGATTCTTTATGCACTTTTTGGCTTTCGATCGAGGAGTGTAACCTTGTCTAGACGGCCTTTAAAATTTCAAAATATAAGGCTCATCTACCTCTTCTCTTGACTCCTTTTTATGCTCCTACAGATCAATTCTCATTTCACCATCTGAACATAATATAGAGAAGTGTTTGGAATGAGGTCCAACACGCTCAAATACATGAACTTCAAGATTTTCGACCTCCTCAACACAAATTACACTAGAGTTAACTAAGTTTGTATCTTCAATGTCCTTGGTTGACTCTAGTATTAATTATTCAACATCAGTATCCTCAAATTCTAGTAGGATAGACTGCTGGTGTTCTACTCTGGCCTCCTCCATTAGCACATCACTTTTAGTATCTAATTCATGCTCTTTTGGCTACTATCCCCAATATCGACTTGTTGAGCATTAAATGCTTCAACCAATTGACTCACGTGTGCCTCCACGTTGCGAATAGTAGCATCTTGCCTTTATATGTGCAGTTATTTCTCATTATTTTGTCCCACAAGGCACCTTAGTATATCCTTGATCTCTTTCAGGTCATCATCCCTGGGTTCTTTGTTCCTATTAACTTCCTAAGAAAAAATAGAACTATCATTATAAGGGATTGGGGGAGGATAAGAAATATAAGCACAGCCATGAAAGTGACCCTCTTGACCACCACACATATCACACACATTTCACACATAAAATTGAGTTGGGGCACATAACTCGCTCTCAGGAATATTTTGATAATTTTTCCATTGGTGGTTTCCTCCACAATATGCATAGGGAGGATTAAAAGTAGAATTGCCAACATCAAAACTATCATAATTCCAAGATGTCATGTATCTCAAATCAAAAATAAAAACAAAACAAAATAAAATAAAATAAAAGTTCAAACTTAACACCGAGCAATATTTACAGCTACAACTACACTGTTGGTTCCCAGACAACGGCGCCAAATTTGATCACGCCCAACTATGCCTTATAAAAAGGACTAAGCGGTCGCTGCAAATATAATATCCGGTCTAAGAGTTCGGAGTCGAATCCCACAGAGAGCTCAGGTTTAGCTATAACTGTTTATTATCACTAAGAAGACAAGCTCGAACAATTCCTAAGTTATAAACATTAAGATTCTTATGTCTAATTAATTAACTAAACAACTTTATATCAGTACAAAACTGTTTTGCAATGTTTCTTGTACCAAGCTAAAACAATTTTATAAAACAGCTTTTTTGTAAGCTAAAACAGTTTTATAAAACAGCTTATTTGTAATTGAGAAAGGTATAAAGACAAGTTGTTTTGCAACTAATAGTTCAACACTAAAATCTGCAACATAAAACAATAGAAACAATTAAGTAGTAGTTCAAGCAGTGAGCTTAAATTCTTAAAGCTGATTCTACTTTCTCTGTGATTTCATTCTTAAATCTGATTTTTCGTTAAATGAGGTACTTTATGTTAATAATTTGACACCAAGAAATAGGACAAAAACAAACGAAGAAAAAAAGTAACAGAACAGAACAATTAGAGTAGAGGAAAAAGCTGGAGATAAAAACTATGCAGAACTAAAATCAAACCTCAAGTCATTTTAGCGAAATAGATAATTGCATAAAACAGATAATTAAGCGATTCCCACAAAAATCCAATAGTGAATGAATAAACACAATAGTGAACTAAATCAACTGGCAAAAATAAATGATTCCCCCAAAAATCAACACGAAGATTGAATCAAGGCAAAAATAAACAGAGCATAAATAGTGAAGTGAATCAACACAATAGTGAAGTGAATCAATAGGCAAAAATAAACGATTCCCTCCAAAATCAACACAAAGATTGAATCAACTGAAGATGAAGATGAAGGCAAGTAGGCAACCGAAGATGAAGATGAAGCAACTAAAAACTTACACGAAGAATAAAGATGAAGATGAAGAATGCGGCTGAGAAATGCGGCTGAAGAGTGAAGTGAAGAGGGTGAAGTCTGAACTCTGAAGAATGCGGCTGACGGGCTGAGGCTAAGAAAGAATAGGGAAAGAATGAAGCCCTCATATGTATATACTTAAGGGTAAAGTAGTAAATTCGTTAATCCTTATTGGATTATCGGTTAACCCAATAACAGAATTGCCAAACCGAGCCCGAACCGATAACCCAATAATAAAAATTCTAAACTGTTACCGAACCGTTAACCCAATAACCCAATACCGATAACCCAATAAATAATTAACGGTTCGGGTTATCGGTTTTACCCGATATATGCCCACCCCTACTTGATCGTACTGATTAACAAGATCCATTTTTTCCGGTCAATTAGTTTGTATAGCTATGAGTAGCGGCTAAGACACCTTGTATAATTTAAATATTTATTGGGATCTTTACATAAATAATCGGTCATATTCATTGTTACATAAAATTATGCATATATTATACATCCACATGCTAGTTTTAGTTTAAGTGGTTGGGTGGGAGCTATTTGGATTAATTCTTCATGTTTATTCTGCTTATACCAAATTATTGTATAAACTTAGTAATTAAATTAAAATAAGAGTACATATCACTTAACATAATTAAGCGATAATGTATATATGAAGGACACCATTTGTTTCATAGAATGTCATTCGTCATCACCTTCGACAATTTTTTTTACATAAATAATATTTTCTAGAAAATAAAATGTATATATGAATAGACTGATATCGTTTGAAAATAATATAATGTAAACATCACTTTAGGACATGAATTAAAGCCTTAGAGCCACATAGACAGAGACTTATAGTGTGTTTGGCCAAGTTTCTTTTTGGCCAAAAATTGAGGTGTTTGGCCAAGCTTTTGGAAGGAAAAAAAGTGCTTTTGAGGAGAAGCAGAAGCAGTTTTGGAGAAGCCGAAAAAAGTAGCTTCTCTCCAAAAGCACTTTTTTGAGAAGCGTTTTTGAGAAAAATACACTTAGAAGCAGTTTTTTAAAGCTTGGCCAAACACTAATTGCTGCTCGGAAGTGCTTTTTAAACTAATTAGCCAAACACAAACTGCTTCTTACCAAAAGTACTTTAGAGAATAGCACTTTTGGAAAAAAGCACTTCTCAAACTAAGCTGATTTTTGCAGCTTGGCCAAACGGGCTATTAAGCTCACAGACAAGCCGAGTTGTGACACTAGACTGACTCTGATTACCAGCGGCGGAGCTAGTGTGTCGGGAGTGGGTTTGGTCGAATCCAGTAGTTTTGGTTCGAATCCTATATTTGTCTTAAAACTTTTATTGAATATGTATAAATTATTAATTTAAAACTCAGTAACTTAAAATGATTAGAATCTTGAACTCATAAGCTTAAAATCTTGGCTCTGCCTCAACTGTATAAGATCCTGTGTACGCCATCGGATCTGAGAGTGCTCAAAAAAACAAGTAATAGCTTTTTAGATTTCATGTAATCATATAAAATCTGGCAAAACTCTATTTAAAAGAAAAAGGCACACTTGAGTGACATACATATCGGACACTTTAAACAGGCGGCAGAATGAGAAAATAGGTAAAACTTGTGGGCCGAGGCGCATGTAAATTTTGACCCTTAACATAACACTGAAAAAAAGGTGTACTAAAAAGGACTTTTGCAGTCCAAAGAAGCAACCAAGAAATGGTCCATATGTCATGTGAGAAAATGTATTTAGCTCTTTACATAAAATTACTATACTATACTATCATTTCTGACGATGTAATAATTAGTTTGAGAGAAAAATCCAATGTCAAATCTCTAAGTGATAAACGATTTCCAAATAAAAATAAGAAGAAAAAGAAGAATTGCTTGAGACAGACTCGAGAGTGACACCACTTATGCTGTTGAAAATTTAAAAGAAATTAAAGTATTGAATTAATTGGACCATCTTTTCCACGTTTTTATGTTTTTATATGTACTAATAGTTGGCTTTTTTGTCACCCCCTTTTCATTTAGCCTTATTCTCCTCAACATCACATTTGTATTATTATCTAGAGAGAGAGAGAGAAGGTGAAGGAAATAAGCCAAAATGGTAAGGGCTCCTTGCTGTGAGAGGATGGGATTAAAGAAGGGGCCATGGACTGCAGAAGAAGATCAAATTTTGATATCTTTCATTCAAAGATATGGACATGAAAATTGGAGGGCACTTCCTAGACAAGCTGGTGAGTTTCCCAACTTATTTACTTCTTGTGTTTCTTTTTTCTTTTGATTTATACTATTGATTTTCATCTCTTTGTATGGAAGGCGAGCCTTGGCGTAACTGGTAAGTTGTTGCCATGTGATCAGGAGGTCACGGGTTCGTGCTGTGGAAACAGCCTCTTGCAGAAATGCAGAGTAAGGCTGCGTACGATAGACCCTAATGGTCCGGCCCTTCTCCGGACCCCGTGCATAGCAGGAGCTTAGTGCACTGGGTTGCCTTTTGTTTTTCTTCTTCTCAATATTGTATGGTTACATAGTTCAAAGAATTAGTTATTTCTTGTTAGTTTTGATCTATAACTCTCTCTCTTTTTGTTTTTTGGTTTCAACTTTTGTTTAGGTTTATTAAGGTGTGGAAAAAGTTGCAGACTAAGGTGGATAAACTACTTAAGGCCAGACATTAAACGAGGAAACTTTAGTAAGGAAGAAGAAGAAACCATCATTAAGCTGCATCAAGTTCTTGGAAACAGGTACAAGATATATGCTCCCTCACATTCAACACAACAGCACACTTCTTTTCAATTCTTTCACTTGGGTCTTGTTTGTTTATGTAAGTTTCTTTGTCTTGGTCATGTGCATGAAACTACATATATACATAAGGGTATATAGCTACTGGGAACTGCATCTGCCTATAGGAAGTTTTACGCCCTACATTGATCGATATACCTTATTTTTCAGGTTACTGGTCCCACTTTATATGAACAAATTATCAGTTATTTTACTTTAAGTGACATGATAGTGTATAAAAATCCTCGAGTTAGCATAGGACGCAAACCCTTTCCACCAAAAAAAAAAAAAAAAAAAAAATAGAGGTGTGGAATTTTAATTTTGATGCACTAATTCTATTTATTTTATCGTTCTAGTCGTTTGGTCTTATTCCTACTACCTGATGTTGCGTTTGCGTTGGTTTTGTTATTATTTTGATGTTGTTACTGTTTTTTTCCATGAATTTTTCACTACTATATTTCCTGTATTACTTCTTTGATTATGCGTGCCATGAGCCGAGGGTCTTTAAGAAACAGCCTAAGGCTTGTGAAAATATATTGGGTATATGTTATTATTATTGTACTAATTCTATTTGTTTCTTTTTTCTTCAGATGGTCTGCAATTGCATCAAGGCTACCTGGACGAACAGATAATGAAGTAAAGAATTTTTGGCACACTCACTTGAAGAAAAGGTCAGAACACAATTATCTACTACCATCTACTACAACTACAAAGAGAAGCTCTCATGATATGATGATACCTAAAAGGACAACAAATGTTTCACAAAAAATCAATCACCATATAATTGCTTCAAATTATCAAGCTTCCCAAAATATTGTTACCTATCATCCAACTTGTGATGTTGAAGATCTTCAAGAGAATAACTCATCAAGTTATTCTGAGAGTACTCAATCAAACAAGGAGGAAAGCATGCAATCCATTAATGGTGAAAATATAGGTACTGAATCTGCAAATGGACATGGGGACACTAGTTTCAGCAATGATATGGTTTTTTGGTATAATATCTTCATGGGTGCAGGAACAATATCTGAGAGTTAGAGGTGATCGAATCCATGTTCTAGAGTCAACAAGTTCAGAATAAGTATGATCTTATTATATGTATACGTTTTAAATTTTTTCGTATATGTATACAAAGTCGAGACAAGAAACGTAACGTCAATGACCACGGAAATCGCTCTAGATCCGCCTCTAACTTATGAGAGTTGGATTTCCACGATATGATGTGTGTTTATAGATAGCATCTATAGTTCTTGTGCTTATTGGAATTTATTGAGTCCAATCATACAGTAAGAAGCCCCCTTATGAAGTAAACGAGTGAAATAAAACAGCATTCAAGGAGATTTACATATTAGGGCTTTCTTGATAATGTTCCCTTGCTGTTGAATCGTGCTTTTCAATAAAATGGAATAGATCTTGTCAATTTTTCTACTTGCTAGAAATTACTTGGTACTCTAGCAGTGTCTTAAGTAAAGTAGAATTTTATGAGTTTTTCATTAAACTGAAATTATTCATACTTGTGATGAGAAAGGGTCACAACTTTTGTGCAATACAAAATACTTTGTTGAGTATTGAGGTTTTAGGTCCAAGAATTAGTAAGTTTCTTCTTCTTTTGATTAATTAATTCAGAGGTTTTAGAGTTGTAATCGATTCTATTTGCATCTTAGTTTTGATTTAATTCCGTTCTATTTTGATTTCCTTTTCTTCTTAGTTTGATTTTGTGTGTGACTATGATTAAGTGATTTAGAGTGTTTAGGTTTTGAGATGATTGACAAAGTTTGTTCAGAAGAAATGCTCTAAGAACCAGGTCCTCAATGTAGCTGTTTAACTGCTCTAAGAACCAGCTCCTCAAGGTTGATGATTGCATGTTCTTGCAAGACAGTAACTTTATCTCAAGTTACCCAAGTTCGAGTTTGTTGGAAGTTAAATGCTAAACGTGATAAGGGTTGTTGCCAAGAAAATACGCTTGCATAAGTGAGAGGCAAGAGTCCCAAGATTTATGAAGTTCTTGGAGCAGTAAGAGTCTTATCAAATGAAATGCTGACTACGCATAGGGCTCCTAAAAGATCTCGGAGTCCAAAGAATTTAAATACTATCTTTTGGACTACTGAGATCATCCTTTTACACATCAACTGAAGAACTATATTTTCCATACTCAAGTAGAATACCCGTGTTGTGTTCTTCTTGAGTCAGTCCAGTAAATGTATTTTAGGAAATCGAGTTGTAATCAAAGTGTCATATACAATCAGGGAGTTGGAGTGAGTGTTTGATTTTGCAAGTTAGAATAACTTGTAAATCAAATAGTTGAAGTAGTAGAACTAGAGAGTATTGAGTTACAGATTTATAATCGGTACATTTGTCTCATTATTCTAGTGACGTTGAAGCTAAAATCCTACGTGGTAGGTTGTTGCTTTTGCACCTTTTGAGCGGGTGGTTTTCCACGTAAAAAGCTCTTATGTATTTAATTCTGCACTTTATTATTTCAGTTGTTTAACGAAGGAGCATATATAAGAATCAAGTTCTTATACAAGTGTGTAAGTGATGCTCCAAACTAACAATTGGTATCGGAGCAGGTTTTCTCACACACAGGGTTAACACCTAGAGAGATCTTAGAAGCAAAATGGGCGCTCCACCTGGAATCAACGAAGGACAGTCAACTACCATACCACTCCTATTTAATGGAAAATACTACAGTTGGTGGAAAGCAAGAATGGAAGATTTCCTGATGGCTGAGGATTATGAACTATGGACCATAGTGAACCAAGGTCCACTAACTCCTACTAAACAAAATGGGCAAAGTGAAATTGTTCCCAAAGGCCCCTCTAAATTTGTAGCAGCAGATTTCAGAATGATGGAGAAGAATGCAAAGGCTAAGAAAATCCTTATCTGTGGACTTGGTCCTAATGAGTACAACAGGATATCAGCTTGCTCTAATGTAAAGGAGATCTGGGATGCACTTCAAACTGCTCATGAAGGAACAAACCAAGTGAAGAGATCAAGGATCAAATTGCTTATGAGGAACTATGAGCTCTTCTCCATGAAGGAGTTTGAGCCCATCCAAGAGATGGTGACTAGGTTTACTATAATAACAAATGAACTGAAATCACTTGAAAATGTGTTTACTTCAGAAGAGTTGGTTAACAAAGTTCTAAGGATTCTTCCAGCTTCATCGGAATCAAAAGTCACAGCTATTCAGGAAGCAAAGGAACTGGACAAGATCTCGCTTGATGAGTTGGTTAGAAACTTAAAGACTTATGAGATAAGAAAGATAGAACTGCGCAAGGAAGAAGCAAGAAGGGATAAGGCCTTGGTTCATAAGGCATTTGAAGAAGTTGAATCTGACACTGATGATCCTGGCCTATGAATGTTTGCTAAGTTCAAGAAGTTCATACAGAATTCCAAAAATACATCTAAGAGAGAGAACAGTGGTAAGCTTAAGCAAATCGACAAAGCCCCTTATGATGGGTGCTACAAGTGTAACAAGCTAGATAACATGGTCAAAGACTGTCCAATGTGGGAAATTGAGTGGAAGAAAGAAAGAACTGAAAAAGAGAAACAAGAATTACTGAGAGAGAGAAGGGTCCAAACAAAGGGAAAATCCGAAGCAAATGATTCACTGAAGCAATGAAGCAGGATTTTCTAGTAGTATAGTTGTCACGACCCAAACCCCGCACTAGTCGTGATGGCGCCTCTCGTGAAGACGAGGCCAGCCAACTAACCCACTCGTCTTTTCAAAAATAGTTAAACATAAATAAACAACGTAAATATGACTTAATAGTATTAATTAGCGGAAAGCCAACCCAACACAGCCCTAACCGGGGTGTCACAAGTCACGAGCAACTATCAGAATGTAAATCCACTACAGGGTCTAAAATGTACAAAACCGGAATAATGAACAAAAGAGAGAGACATGGTGCTGCGAACGCTGACAGTCACCTCCTTAACTCATATAACTCTGCCTCTGATCGGCCCAAAACCTGCTACCGGGTGAATAGATAACTGCATCTGCACACGAGGTGCAGGGAGTAAAGTGAGTACTCCAACTTAGTGAGTAATAAAGGTAAATAACAACTGAGCAGTAAGAAATCACGTAAAGCAACCAACGTGCTGTATAGAAGCAGGGTACAATCCTTTGAGAAAAACAGTGAAGCTGTGAAATCTTTGGAAATCTCTTGGCTCAGTTTAAATCTCTTTTTAAAATGATCTTTCCAACAGATACGAAATGATTTCAAAAAAGTTAGTGCCAATAAGCACAAAAAAACCGCCCCTCGGGCACAAATATCACAGTATAACAGGCAAAAAGCAAGTAAATATGCAAGATGAGCACATAAAAGTTCGCCCCTCGGGCAATATCTCAAAACAGTACCAGCCCCTCGGGCTCACTCTCAGAAACACTCTCAGCCCCTCGGGCTCTCTCTCTCTCAGCTCACTCTCAGAACAGTATCATATAGTAACCGCTGCGGCATGCCCGATCCACATCTCGCTGCGGCGTGCAGCCCGATCCATATATCGTCGACGACGCTCACTGGGGGTGTGCACACTCTGGGAGGGGCCCCTTACAGCCCAAGCGCAATATCAAGCCACCTCGTGGCATATAACATAAGGCCTGAAAGCCTTCTCACATCACTCACAAGGCCTGAAAGCCTCCTTACATCACACTCGAGGCCTGAAAGCCTCCCCACATCACACTCGAGGCCTGAAAGCCTCCTCATATCACACTCGAGGCCTGAAAGCCTCCTCACATCACACTCGAGGCCTGAAAGCCTCCTCACATCACACTCGAGGCCTGAAAGCCTCCTCACATCACACTCGAGGCCTGAAAGCCTCCTCACATCACACTCAAGGCCTGAAAGCCTCCTCACATATGGCCCTCGGCCTCACTCAATCCAGAAAACATCATAAGCCCCCAGGCATCAATAAAATAGTAGTGCTCAGCCCAAACAACAGTGGAAATATCATTTATGTCTCAAAGTTTAATTAAAGCGGCTGAGTTTGTAAAACAGTATAATCAATAGGACTGAGTTCAAGTACTATATCAAAATAGTGAGGAAACAGTGATAAAAATCCCCGAAGGTTTCAGATAATTGGCACGAAGCCCAAATATGGCAATAAGCCCAAATCGTGATAATAACAAATAAGTTTCAGTCAAATACGCGGTAAAATCATCAATCGGGACGGACCAAGTCACAATCCCCAACGGTGCTCTACCCCACGCTCGCTATCCGGCGTGCAAGTCACCTCAATATAGCACTGCGGTGTGCAAATCCGGGGTTTCAAACCCTCAGGATATCATTTACAATCATTACTCACCTCGAACCGGCGAAATCTCTAGCTCGCGACGCCTTTGCCTCTCAAATCGGCCTCCACGCGCGTCCAATCTAACCAAAATCAGAGTGAATACATCACAATAGGCTAAGGGAACAATACCCAATCGAAAACAATCGAAAAATATCAAAAATCTCGAAATTAGCAAAACCCGAGCCCCGGGCCCACTTCTCGAAACTCGAAAATTTTCACATCAATATGTTCCTTATCTCCTCATGAGTTCATACATACCAAAATTTCTCAAATCCGACCTCAAATGGTCCTTCAAATCCCCAAATCAAATTTCAAAAATCTCAAGCTCTAGTTCTTCAATTTTTAGGCTTAGCTTCTATGAATTTCTAGGTGGATTTCACAACACAAACGAGTTTTAAGACCAAAATTCTTACCTCAAGTCGTTTCCCCTCGAATCCCTCTTTAATCTCCACCAATAAGCTCTCAAAATGATCAACCATGGAGGAAAAATGACCCAAAATCGCGGATGAATGAAATTATGACATTCTGCCCAGCACTGTTCCTCCTTCATCGCGATCGCGACCCAAGTCTCGCGATCGCGGAGCACTAAATTTCCATCTCTCAAATTAACACTATGCGAACGCGATGCTTTAAACTGGTACCACTACGCGAACGCGTGCCTTATGCCGCGAACGCGATGAACAAATATTGCGGGACCTCAAATCCTCCTATGCGAACGCGACACTCGTCACGCGAACGCGATGCATACTCCCAGGACCTTCCGCGAACGAAGTGCTATAGACGCGAACGCGAAGCATAATGACTCAGGGGCCCAACTTCCTTCTACGCGAACGCGGGATCCAAACCGCGAACGCGAAGCTCTGGAACTTTACCTTCCGCGAATGCATACCTACCTTCGCGAACGCGAAGGCCAAATATGGCCTGCAACTGCTGCTGCATTTTCTGCATATTTTTCCAAGTTAAAACTTCCCGTTAGCCATCCGAAATCACCCCGAGGCCCCCGGGACCTCAACCAAAAGCACCAAAACATCCTAAAACATCATTCAAACTTGTTCCAATCATCAAAACACATCAAAAAACACTAAATCATCAATTCTCACCGAATTCAAGCCTAAGTTCTTCAAAAACTTCCAAAACACGCATTTGATCAAAAACCCAACCAAAACACCTCCGAATGACCTGAAATTTTGCACACACATCCCAAATCACATAACCAAGCTACAGCAACTCTCGGAATTCCATTCCGACCCTCGGATCAAAATCTCGCCTATCGACCGGAAATCACCAAAATACTAACTTCGCCAATTCAAGCCAAATTCTACACCGGACCTCCAAAATCACTTCCGATCACGCTCCTAAGTCATAAATCACCCAACAAAGCTAACCAAAT